TTGTTGTGACCAAAATGCAGGACTTGAGTATATGTTTGGAGAAAAAGCAATGTGTTCTGTGCTGTCCTAGTACTGGATGTAATTGATGACCTGTTTTATTGCAGATACCCCAGTGCCCCTGGGCTCCATGGTGATTAATAGTATCTCAAAGCTTTGTCGGCTTGGAGGTTCCTCCATGTACACCGTGCCTAATGCACCATCTCTTGCTGACCTGGAAGATGACACAGATGAGGAGGGTAAGGTGCTGTTAACAGCTTAGAACAAGTGGTCTGCTTCCTTCCTTTTGAGTTAATGCTACAATATAGCACCTGGATGGGAACAGATGTTTTTTTGTCTCTGCTGGACCATGATACGTATTCTTTTAGTCCCCTAGAACTTCCAGATGTAGACCTACATGCTGTGTATCCATTAATCTGTTGGGAATTGTTAACTCTTAATCACTAGTATTATTTTCATTTGTTTTTAACAATCTGTCTATTCTCCTGTTCTGCCTTTTCCCCTTTTTACATTTTTAGCTATTTAGACTCAAAGACCTTCATTGATGTACTTACAAGGTGCATTGAGTAGAAATTAGAAACCCATAAGAGTTCTCATCCTGATTTTCATGGAGTGCTCTTTTGAAGAGTACAACTTTCCTGTCCCTCTTCTTCCTCAGAAGCATTAAAATTCAAAACTATATACCACAAGAGTTTGCAGCTGCACAGTTCTAAAATGGGCCTGTAGAAAGGCTCTGAGTTGGTTTTGGGCCAAGTTGAGTGAGAGTCAGAACATTTGACTGCTGAGAAAGAGGCTGATGTCACACTGAAGGTGTGAAGAAGTATTTTCTTCGAGTTCATCAAGGTCTTCTATCAAGAGAAAAAGAATAGACAGAATAGACAGAAAAAGAATAGACTTCTTCAGAAAATAAGAAGATAGGGCCAGAAAAAAGGAAGGTGGGTTGAATGAAATAATGGACTTCAGTTGCAGGAAAGAAGATTCAAGATCAGTGTGAGCAAAACTTGTAAGTTATAACCGTGCATTTAGCTGCATGGAAATTATGGCATTGTGAGCACTGGAGATTGTTAAGAAATGATAAGATACCTGTTGTCTGACATCCATAAAGCTGATGCTACCTTATGCCAGGAAAGGACTATAAGGCAGCTTGATGTCTTCTTCAGCCAACTGATTTTGATTCTGTTTTCCTACTGAAACCTTGATTATATTCAGACCTCTGCCTGAATATAGTCCTTTCCAAGAATTATAAATATAATGGTCTGGTTTAGTTCTTTCTCAGCTAATTTATTAACAACTGCTAAATGAATAGACTGCAGCTGACACATAGTTTTCCAAACATGTTTCAAGGTTTTTTTTTTCTGCTTTCAGGTAATGAAGACAAACCAGAGAAACCACACTTTGATTCTCGTAGTTTTATTTTTGAATTAGACCCATGCAATGGGAATGGGAAAGTTTGTCTTGTTTATAAGCACACTAAACCAGGTAAGACTGACAAGAGAAAAGTTATCCATCTTTTTTTGCAGATTGTATCTGGGAGGCATATACATAGAATTGTAGAATTTTGACCTTTGCAATTTATAGATGGACATTTACTGAGACATCCAGCCTCTGCTGAACTCGGTGGCTAAGTCTTACAGTGGCTTTGTTGGAGATAACACTTTCCCTCCTTTTAAAATTCGAGTCTAAGTTATAATAATTCTCATGCATAGTGTAATTGTATACTGAAACAGGAAAGCACTCACATATAACCGACAGACAATTATGTTGAAGTAATGCAGTGAGCTGGACTTTCAGCTGCTAACATATGTCTGGTGACTTGCATGTCTTACAACAATTCGCTTATATTTTAATAAGAAACATAAAGTGCTTAGTAGCAAAAGATGGAAGACAAAAAAGTCCTCGTCTCAGTCAGCCCAATTTAGACTGTTTCAGTCTCCTTGCATGTGCATGCAGACCTCCCAGATAGGTCAAAATTTGCTGGGGAGAGGTTGAAAGGCAGAACAAAAGACATGAGATGAGCTGTGCTTACTAAAGCATACCAGAAAAGTTGCTTTCAATCAGGGATCAGTGGAACATGCAGGTCTCTTGTAAAGTAGCTGTCATCTGTCAAAGTGCACAGGTCAGTAGGTGTTTGTGTACGTGCATGTACACCGTGGGATTATGCAATTGTGGTACACCTGTTCCTGAGAAAAGCCTTTGTTTGTTATCTTGTGTTTTTAATTGGATATGACTTTAACTTCCAGGGCAGAAACTTACTGCTTGTCATCTTGCTTTCAGTGGTAGTGATTTCAGTCCATGCAATGGATAACCTGAACAAGGGAAAGGAGTGTTGTTTACTGCTGCTGATGTCAGTGTAGGAGACTGTGTTTAATTGACAGCATTCAGTCTCCATTTTCCAAGTAGAATCACTTATTTTTATGCTGGTAATCTGATGGTGGTTTCTTCAAAGGTTGTTGCCACCAGAGAAATGTTTAATCACTGTTTTGAGATTTTGCAAAATGTTTTTTTGTTGGCAGAATACACTGTCCCATGAGTTATGGACTTTACACAGTAATCTATATGACCAACAGCTGAGTTAGTTGTTTATATTTTGTGAGGCAGATAAATGTTGGCCATGATAATGCCTTAAAATTACATTACAAAGTTGCTGTTGTCTGAAGATGTTCAATATAGAGTGTCAGTCCCAGGCTAGATAGAAATAGGATTGCATAGGTTTTACAGTGGGGAAAGTGATTGTAATGGCTATTGTGTGATCCTGGGAGAGAAATCAGGATTTCTTCAGACATCAAGCTCTTATCCATTAAACCACTCTCCTGTGGATAATCATCTGTGTTAGTCAGGGATGCTAGGTTTTAGAAGGTGCAGCCTTTTCCATAACTATGTTTTGTCTCCCACTTGACAGTGGGTCAGGGATTGATCTCGTATCGCTATAGAGCAACAATATGTAGTTTCTGCTTGTGTGGTTCCAGTTGTGTCCCCAGACACAGAGATATGGTTCCTAGACAGAGCTCTGTATTGGCATTTCCTCACCAAAACCTTCACAGCCTACTATCGCCTGCTCATCACTCACCTGGGTCTCCCACAGTGGCAGTATGCCTTCACCAGCTACGGAGTCAGCCCTCAAGCCAAGGTAAGACAGTAGAATCCAGCTTGTCAGCATTTTGTGTTAATTATAGATGGGAAAAATATCTTCCAACCTTTGACAGTCTGTAGGCTTAACTAGACCTTCCTACTGAGCCATGGTAGGGGCCATGAGCCCTTCCCTCCTACCACGTTAACAGTCATTTACATCAGTAAATTCACTAACATGGCGTTAATATACTTTTCTCACCTTAACTGATCTCTACCTTTCACCTCTTTTAACAGGTGTGGTAGCTAATTAAGTGCTTGCTTTCTGGACTTGGAGGCCAGCGTCCATTTCCATGACTGCTAGAGGAGATGTAGTCATTTGTCTAAGTGATATTTGTCTAGATCAGCTTTCTAGGCATAGCACCAAACAAGATCCCACTGCTAACTAGGTGGAGAGGGAAGTCCAGGCATACATTAGGCAGAAGCCCAGAGGAGAACTATCAATTTCAGCCTAGCAAAGAATACCAGTTCTTCTCCTGTCCTCATCAGTTGCAAAGGAATATCTTGATAAAAATGGTGCCTAGAAGAGTAATTTAAATGCCAGCAAACACAGAAGCACTCATAGGAGAACTCCAAGTACAGACAGTCCAGACCCTCTATACCATTAAAGTAGCCATCCTGTTCTGCCAGTAGCCCGCTTAGAGGTTCCTGTTTATTCCTCTGTGCTTGACTGGGCCTTCAGCCTTAACTTAGCTTCCACCTTGTGTGAGCTGACGCAGTGCATGCTGGCAAAGCCTGTTGAATGTCCTGCACTTAACCTACACATGACATGTTGCCTGCCTCAGCCCTGTGTGTGCACCGAAATTATTCGCTATAATCACTGTCGAATTCCCTTCTATCAGATTGTCCCCTTGCATTTCTGGTGTCTACCCTGTCATACTGTGCACTACCTTGTGGCCAGGGCTGTGTGCATAGTATATTAGCATTTGTCTGTGCTCTGCCTTTTTTGTAGTTTTCTTGCTAGAATATTTCATTATATTCGGTGTATTCTCAAAACTTAGCGAAATTATTCATATACTCTCTAATCATTTGCAGCCTTTGTTAGTTTAAATCCTCCTAATATGTTAACCATTATCGTTTGCAAAGGTCTTTAGGGATGGTATATTAAAGCCCTTTGCCATAAAGCAATATATGAACAGATTTCTATTTATATTTGGTATTGATTTTTTGTTTATCTTCTTAAATAATTCAGTAAGGATGGTCTCAGATTTGTAATACTTTAACCCCTGCAGTTTTATTTCATGACTTCATCAATGGACAACTGAGAGGAAAAGCACTGAGATGTAGGATCTTCAGGGCATAATTGTGGGGCATATGGGAACAAAAAAAAAAATCTTGTGGTCACCTCTAAACATTAAATCAGGCTGAAGAGAAACAAACAAAATCATTTGTGTCAAGAGTTTAAAAAAAAAAACATAATATTGTATGTGCGAAGAGAGTGAGGCAGGCTATCTTTTGAGAAGTGCAGCTAAAATTTATATTTCATAAGCACTTTTTCATTCCAGGTTTTTAATCTTTTCTGCTTCTCTGAGCCTAGATAAAAATGGCCTAGTTTCATCTCCTCCCTTTGCTTTTCCTCATATTATTTAAGTGTTATGATGATTAAGAGTTGCTCCTGATAGGAATTACACTGCAGGAAAAATAGTGTTAGGTTTGTTTCTGGTTCTCCTCTTCCTTGTCTGGAATGTGAGGCAGCTCCAGGGCTGTATCCCTATCAGAAGGGACTTTGCACAGTCCTGTAAATTGCAAATTGGTATGCAGATTATGATTAAAATCAGGGCACTAGGATGAGAAGAAACAGGCAGAAAATGTATAATTATAGTTTGATATTTAACTTACTCCTTCTCCATCATCCTGTCTTCCAGCAATGGTTTAACATGTATAAACCCATAACAATAAACACAACTCTTCTCTCTGAAGAAGCTGATTCCTTTGTAAACAAGCTGGACCCCAATAAGGTATTTAAAAGCAAGAACAAAACACCAGTGATGAAAAAGAAACAACCCTCCCAGCCAGCAGGTGTCCAAAAGAGCAACACTATCATGTCCTCCACCAAGACTTCCTCACTAGCTGGGAATTCTTCAAGGAAGCGAGACCCACAGATCTGACCCTGAAAAAAGTAAGAAGTTTTGATGTTTTCTGATGCAAATCTCAGTGGTTCAAACGAGCTCCACTTGTGTGAATAGGATGCAAGATTTGCATGAAATATAACCATAGAATCACAGAATCATAGAGTACCCCAAGTTGGAAGGATCATCAACTCCAGCACCTGGTTCCACACAGGACCACCCAAAACTCAGCCGTATCGATGATGACACTTCCTGAGCTCCGTCAAGCTTAGTGCCATGACCACTACCCTGGGGAGCCTGTTCCATGCTCACCACCTTCTGGTGAAGAACCTTTTCTTAACACCCATCTGCCCCTCCTCTCACACAGCTCCATGCCATTCCCTCAGGCCCTGTTGCTGTCACACAGAGCAGAGCTCGGTGCTGCTGTCCACTCCCTGTGAGGAGCTGCAAGCCATCAGGGATCCCCTGAGCTCCTCTGCTCTGGACTGAACCAACCAAGGGACCTCAGCCACTCCTCACACACCTTGCCCTCTGGACCCTTCATGGAAGGGGTGTATTTCCAGGCAACTTGGATAACAAACCTTGAGGCATTGATTAATTCCGTCCTGCTTGCAGTATGTACTTTTCAGAGGGCATGAAGAAGCCCTTGATGTCACTGCTCTGTAGAGAACCTGTTATTCCTGTGTAACTACAGCAGTGAAATGAAAGTAAACTTAAAGTCACTGTTACTTTAATAGATCATTCATGCTGAATTACAGAGTATATTTCTATCATTTCCTTTCAAAGTAAAGTGTCCTGACCTTGCATGCTATGGGAGCAGGCTGGAACCCACAGAACAAAGAAATATCTTCCACTTCAGACAGATTCGAACTCTACATTTCCTGTGCTCCTTCCCACTTCTGCTCTGATTCACACTGAGGAGGAGCCCAGGGCTTCCATGTCTCTGTGTTGGCCTAGAGACACTTGCTGTACAGTCCAGACCACTTCTTAGACTTTGTACCATTTCTTTTCAGATAGTGATGTCTGTATGATGTTCTTTCCAATTAGCCTGCCAGCAATCAGAACCTGCAAGGTCCTTCACTGTCTCCACTTTCTCCTTTTGTGGGAAATGCTGAGCTAGGGCAGCAGAGTCCTGTCAGCCAGGAGGACCCCTTGGTTTTCTGTACTGGATGTTTTCAGGGTAGAACTGCACTTTAGCACACTGATTTCTGATGTTCAGTTGCATCCATTTCCATTACTTTTATGTGCCAGTTTGTCCATATGCTGAAGCCACCTGGTAGCATGTTTTATGTCTAAGCAGGGAAATAAAAGTCACCATCTCCAAATAAGAGTTGATTATTTAAATAACAGCATTTTTATTTATGAAATGCTCACATAATTACATAAGACAAACCTACCTCACAGGGATGTTGTGAGTCTTTTGCAAGTGTTTGTATGGTCTTCAGGAAGATGAAGCCACCCTGTTAAACGCTTAATAGAATTTTAATAAAGATTTAAATATTTTCCTCCAGAGTCATTGGGTATTTGAAATACCTTTGGGAGCGCATGCAGAAGGATGTACAATAACAGTAGGGTGCAGGCTGGATTTTTTGTTGTTGTTGTTTTAGTGCACCAGAGAGACTTTCACTGAGAAGGGATAAGTTACACATCTTTTAAGCTGATCCCACCCTGAGCTGCATAGATGAAAAGGCTCAGCTGTGTGACAGCTTTTCTACTTCCATCCTATGTTCACTGGTCAGGATTTCTGCAGTCAGCATCTCTGTCTCTGATACACTTTGCTGGCTTCTAGCACTTACTGCAGCCCACCTTTAATGGAGATTGCTGACAGAAAGCACAGGAGTTGCCTGACATCTATCCTCTACCACCCCCTACATAAGAAAATCCTCTTGTACTCTTTTGCCCTCTTAATCTGAGGTGCATCTTGTGCCCGGAGTAGCTGCTCTACTAATAAATGGTGAACTCTAAGGAAGAACTCTGAGGAAACAGATATGGTACCTACCATCTAATCACATGCCACAGTAATACAGCAGTAATCCTTTTGGTATTGTGATGTGAATGGCTGTTAAAGCCAGTAAATGCCAGTTTCTGAAATTCTGTGTGACAGTGATGATGAACAGTGCAGAGTATTGTGTCTCTGTACGTCCAGCCCTTGTACCACAGTCATATTCCTGCATAAAGCATCTCCCAGAAAAGTTTGCCTTATCACCCAGCGCAGAGATAGGCTGATACTGCTGATGGTGTCATACTTTTGGTCCAGTGGTGCTACAGATCTGCAAGTCTACTGCTTGCCCATTTCCTCATTCAGACATATGTTGCAGAATTGATGCAGGAGTACAGTGGTGTATTCCCATGTTTCTCTAACAATCAAAGTGGAGAATCAAGTTTTTTTGACATTTGGATATGCTACCACAGAAGTTGTCTGAATCCTCTCATAAGGTTGTAGTTAAAGTCTAACCCATCAGTTGCAATGCATGCGGCTCCATCACACCTGCTTAGTGCAAAACATCTAGCCTATACCAGTGAGGTTATGTTCAGTGAGGAAAACTCTCCAAACTAGTTCTTAATGGGACTGTCCTTGCTCTTCTCTACAGACATTCCAGCCCAGGTTGAAGGGGCCTTTGGCAGCCTGATTTGTTGGTTGGCAAGCCTGCCCATTGCTCTCTGCAGGCGGCTGGAAGATGAAGGTCCCCTCCAACCTGATTCTCTGTGCTCTGACAAACTGGATAGCAGTTAAGGTGGCAGGTTAGCGAATGGAAAAAAATCTGAGCCTCTGATTCATCAGTGTAATAGCTACAATTTTTTAGCAGAGTATTCCAGATCAAAACTTCTTTGTTTCTGCAACAGTGTAGGTATTCCCTGATTTTCATTTGACTGATTTTTATTCCAGCCATGTTGAATCTTACATGTGATTGCAACTAACTTACAGGCGACTGGACTTTTGCATTTCCAGAATGTGATTTTTGGGAGCAGATTTTTACTCAGAAAGATTGAATAATTTCTTCAGTTCATAAACAGGTCTTGACCTTCTCAGGTCTGCCCAGTGTCGTAGAGACCCTGTTTGTCTGGTTAAGCAGAACAGATTTATATTAAGCTACTCTCTCATTTATTCACTTGCAAGGTGAGAAAAGCATGCACTTCAGCAATGCCATTGCACGTTCCCTTACCCACTTGATTAGTCTTCAGCTGTCAATGCACATGTCCACCCAGGATTTGCTGTCAGGATGGCCATCACAATGTGGCACTTTCAATGATTGTCTGTCCTTTTTCATTTCCATGCTCCAGGACAGGTTGATTGTGAATATCAATTAAGAGTTTGTAGATTAAACCGCCAGCAAGACTTCCCAGTGTCGGAGCTACGAGTGGCACCCACCACCAATAATTTCCAGCCCTAAAATGAAACACAGAAGAGGCATCCAGTGAGCCACACAGAAACTGCTGCCCCGCTGCTTTGAGGTGAGCTGAGTGCTAGGGCTGAGCTTTGTGAGCAGAGGTGTCTGGTGCCATTTCACACTCTCAACTGTCCAGATGGCTTAGATAAACTCTGGATCCATCAGTCTAGTAGCTAGAAGGAAGGTAACTTTTGCTTTTGGCCTGGGAAACTGGCTCAGCATGGTCTTCGTGAAAATGAGCAGCTGAGACAGGACAGAGACTGTACTAATGCCTTCACCATGGAAAAAGCTGTGGTGCGAAGCCATCTTAGTAGATTCTGGAAAGTAGAGTAGATACAGACATCTAAATTTAGGAAAGCAATTCAGCACTCCAGCTTCAAGTACTTGCTTTCTGGTGAGCCAAATCACAGTCTCTCCAGTCACTGCAATGACAGCTCAATCTCTAGCTAAGAGGTGAATTGTTCCTGGTTTCTAAACTGGGACATCCAAATGTCAAGGTGAATCCTATACTGGAGAACTGCATATCCCAGATTTTGTGAACAGGGTGCATGGGGCTTCTCTGTGCACAATATTTGCTTTCTGTAAAGGAGTACACAGGCTCCATGAGCATGTTATCTTGGGCATTTCTCATTCCCAGAGAGCTGTACAGTGTGAACCCAGGTCACTCACGTGAAGACATCCATTCCCCAGCCAGCAATTGCTGTGAAGATTCTCGGCGGCAGGTCTCGGGAGGGGTTTATGGCGTAGCCTGTGTTCATTCCCATCCCCATACCGATGCCCAGAACCAGGATACCCGTGAGCAGAGCCTGTGTGCCTTTCAGGGCTCCATTATTTTTCTCATCATGGATGACCAAAATGCCCAAGAACAACATCACCGTCGCCATAAACTGCAGGAGTAGTAAAGGGAAAACAGGTGAGGGGAGAGAGCAGCAAAGGCAGGAGGATCCCACTCAGCAAAGAGAGACTTCCCAGGCTGTCTGAGCAGGTGGGATGATAAGTCATAAGGGACCCTAATGTTATTCCTTCCTTATAAGTGACTCTGAAAAAGAGACAAGTCATTTCCCAATGAAAATGTGTCCACATCAACAACAAAAATATTCTAGAAGTGACACAAGCTTCTCAGAACTGTCAGCACCCTCCATCTTTCAAGTTAGGTGCATAGGTTATTTAAAGTACTTTTTGTTCAACAGACACAGAGCCATAACAAACAAATCACGAGACAAATCTCATCATTCCTGGCAAGACTGATGGATTATATAGCTTGCTGCATCCACCCTGTTAAGAGTGAAGGTAGATAATGGATTCTTATCTGGGAAATAGAATATCCTGTCTGTAACAACACATTGTAGGCAATCATAGATCTGCAGTGCCTAGGACATCAGTGACAGTTGTTTGTATAGAGATGATGACTCCTGTCTCTATCTGCTTCAGAAAATGTCCCTGGAGGACCTTGGACTTGGAGCTTGCAGAGATACTACTAGAGCAGGAACCCTGTAGTTCTTGGTAGCATGTTTTCATTTTCACTTGGTTTCTTGTGTAGCAAGATAACCGCGCGATCACAGGAGACAGAGCAGTCAGATGGTTATATGCAGGATCTCCAGCTCTCACCATCCTCCTGACTGTCCAGGCACAGCGTCCTCAGCTCAGAAACAAAAGAAGAAGCCTGCTGATCCCTTGACCCTGACAGTTTACCCCCCTGACCTCATCATTCTGTGCTCTTTCTCAGCTCTCAAGAAGCTTTGGACGCTACCAGTCAGCATCTGCCTGGATGGTGGGCTGCTTGTAGCTTAGGTGGTGACAGTGTGCACATGTAGAACTGAGTTCCTTGCCCAGACCTGCTCTAGGACCTACTACCACCCAACTTTTCCCAACACACCACAGCCGTCCCCACTGACCTCTGAGAAAAAGCTCCCGGATAAGGACATATAGGGAGAAGGGTAAGTGGAGAAGATCGATGCTGTGCCAGTTGGTCCTGTCACTGTAAAATTCCCCTTGGTATAGTCATACAGCGCTTCTAGGAGAGATGAGAATTACAGGAGTAAGGACAGTGGCCAGTACAGAGTTCATCACACATGGCATATTCACAAGTTCACCCACTGCAGTCAGCAAAGACACAAAGAGAGGCAATGAGAGATAGATAGGATGGAATCAACACATCCCTTGAAGGACACAATCTCTGCGATACTGTCATCACAGACTTTAGCTTGCAGCTGCTTCTTTATGCAGTCCAACTCCCTGTCCCTGCTCAGAGACATGGGACTGGATGCTCTGGGTGCACTGAGTGGCCTCCATTCCCCCACTTCTCAGAAAGTGAGGCATGCTGGAGCCTACCAGTGTTGGGTCCTCTGCTCATAAACATGAATTGCTGTCCTATTTTACACAGACCAGAGCTCTAGCTGTAGCTGATTCTTGGTAACACAACTAACAGAAGCCTTTGCAGGCCTTTTGCTGACAAAACGTGTGTTTTTACTCTTTTTCTTAATATATATTTTTTTTACAAAATTACCAGGCTTTGGCAGTGGGAATGCCCTATGCAAAAGGAGAGGTGTTCTCCAGGAATATCCTTCCAGAGATATCTGGGCCCTGCCCTAGCTTTGAGCCATGAACGTCTGGCCCATGATCTAAGAAGTCATGACATCACACTGGGTGCTATGACAAAAAACATTTTTGATGAACTGTGAGTTGAGATTGAAAAAGTACCCACAGTAATTCCTGTGATACAGACATAACCATACCGTAGTAGAGTCCAAAGACAGTGGCTGCTCCCAGAAAGGAGCCCAGGAACTGGCCAAGCAGATAAGCTGGAAGCTTTCTCCAGGGAAGGTTTCCAAAAATGCAATGTGTGAGTGTGATGGCAGCATTCAGATGAGCTCCTGCAAAACCGCAAAGGAGAGATACATTGGCCCTGTTGCTCCTAATTTGGAGCATGCCCCATACCTGACATCCCAGAGCTTGCTCCAAAACAGCAAGCACCAAGACTACCAGGGCAGGGTCTCCCTTCTATATAAATGCAAAACTGACTCCTTTCCTGTGGCAGCTGAGAGATGCAGGGAGGGAGTCCTTAGAGTCCTTTCTTTTGGAGTTAGACATCCACAGATTGCATCCAGAGAGTCAGTCATCTCACCTGTCAAAGGCAGCTTTCTTGGTCCTCTCCTACAGGAACGTCCTTGGTTCAACTTAAAGAGATCCCAAACCTTAGACTCATCACCCCCAGGCTATAGGTAGGTGAGCTGTACTGTATCTCAAACCATGAAAAAAAAGCCTTCTGAAAACATCTGAAAATGTCTGATCCTGACAGAGCAGATCTCTCCAGCTGATGTGGAGCTGTGGGCCGATAACACATTTGGCAGCAAGGTAATGAGGCAGTGGGGAAACAAACCGCAGAATTGATCACATTTGCAAAGCAAATTCTGCATGAGGTTGTCAGCAGGGACTTACATCTCAAAGTCATTGCAGCAAGGAGTGAATAGAATGATCAGTTTTGTGGACCATGGTTACAGCCATGGGTCTGAAGCAGACACTGTCCTTCCGTTGTAGGGGACCGGACTGCATTTCCTTACGACTTCCAACATTTAGCTTTCTCCTCCCACGGATTTGGAAAGGGATAAGATCCAGTCTAACACCACATCATCAAAATGCAGGACGGAGTGAGGTAAAGTGCATTAGCACCTGCTGCCATCCCACAGCTGCAAGAGAAGTGGGGGAAGATCTCTTTTCCTTCAAACTTCTCTGGTCCTCTGTGTGGATGACCAGCCACTTCAGGGGTCACAAGAAGCATCTTGTGATATAAATGAAGCCAAATCGCAATGTCAAGGAGCCCTTACTGGCCCCGGAGCTACCCTTCTGCTGGCTGATCTGAGACCTCTCCTCCTTTGCTTAGCTCACTTCTCCCAGTGTGTCTCCACAGCTTCTTAGGGAGACTTAAAGTTGACTCTCTGCACAGAAAAAACATTTTCAAAGCTGTCCCTAGTCTTAGACACCTCTGTGATCCAGAGTTCAAGAACAAAGACTTACTTGCCTTGATTTTCTGCCCACTAGAGCCCTTAATCACTTAACTTGGTGCAAATGAATGCAGAAATTGCACAAGTCAAAGGTAATGCTCTGTCATGTGAGAGATATCACCCTATGGCCCCGAAACATCACTTCCTGAAACACCACCCCCTGAGTTTGCAGGGGGGTGCCTAGTGTGGGTGATAAGGAGAAAATTTCCATACTATTCCTTGTTGCAACATCAACAGTAAGCTTTCACTTACAATAAATGATTTACTTCCTCATGGGTCATGTTGGCAGCATGCTTCCAGATCTCCTTATCTCTCGGGCCACGTTCTGATGGCATAACCCAAGTGCCTAACATGGGCATTTCTGAAACGTTACTGCTGACTGCAAGGGACTGCATCTCTGCCATTCTCTTGCCCCACTTGCCTCTGCCCATCCCCACCGGTGAGCAGGAAGTCCCAAGAATACCCAACACATGTCCTGCCCTGCTTTGGCAGAGCCCTGAGGGAACAATGGGCCTTAATTCCTCTCGTGAACAATGTGGGAACAACTTGCTCTGCAGTGCCCCTCCTCTTCAACCCCAGAACACTCTGGGTGCTTGGCTGCCCTACCCTGTTTAATCTTCATACCGGGCAGCCCTGTAATCCTGGCTCTGACAGCCAAGTTTTGCAGAAGAGCTGCAGGAGCCTCACCTGGACCATCATCCCATCTCTCTAAGCCCGTGAAGCGCTTTTGGAGTCAGCAGACTGTCAGTACACAAGGACTGCCCTTCCCCTGCTGCTCTTGACCTGGCTGTGCATTGTGACCTCCTCGGTGCCGCCTCTCCACCGAGGTCTTGGCTGTGATCACTGGATCACAAGGCTGACCCCATGACAGCTACGGTTCATCACACCTGTTTTGCTCTTCTCTGGGGCTGAAGGATTGAATTTTTTGCAGGAGAGGCCAGAGCTCCACCATGCTGTGCCATCAACCACTGCTCTGCAAGCACTCCTGCTGCCCCTGGCACCGGGGCCTTTAGAGACATAGAGATTATGCTCAAGTGTCTTACCAGAGATGCCTCCAGCTGCATGGATCCCCATGGTGACCCCAATGCCAAATCCCAAATTGATGCTCAGGTACTGCCCGAATTCTCCTTTTCCTAATACCACTTGTGCCACACAGGATAAGCCCAAGACCTAATGCATAGAAAATAAAGGGAAAGGGGTGTTAAAGTAATGTTATTGCCATAGTGGATTGAGTGTCCTTGTAGCTTTTTCTGCAATACCGATTATCCTTCAAAAATGGGAAGAGCTTAAGGTGCCCATGGTCAGATCAAGTGAAAATGACCCCTTCTCTCCAAAAACTGAGCAGGAGATTGGGTACCCCTTACTGCTGCATATTCCACCATACCAAAGCAGATGCTCTGGTCTTCATTTGGTATTAGGACCCAGATATAGTGTCTATGGTGCACACATGGTGGCAAACTGTGCTTGCAGCACAAGGGATATGAGCCTGGGGACCTTCACCACAGCCACCCCAGAACATGCCCCATGCCATATGGACGGAGGGTGGGCAAGTTCTTGTCATCTTTCCTTTCCTGGTGTGCAGTTTATTGACCAAAAAGAGTAGTTCAGGAAACACACAGCTGTTTGCCAAACTCAACTCTAATTTTGGTAACCTGTTTCAGCCAAAAACTAGGACATTAATTCCAGTTGAAGTTTTTGACACAAATACTGCTCAGTTTGAAAACAACTAGTTCCAATATTTTTGTAGTGACTAAAAGGAAACTGGAAAAGAAATGAAAAAGAAATGCAAACACTCTCCAGCAGGAAAGGACATATTAAGAAATTGCTCTGGCCTTAGGATAAATTCTGTTTCACTCATTCATTGAGGTTGGAAAAATCAATTCTTGCACAGTTCTAATATTCAAATCTGGAGAAGGACAAAGCTTCTCTTGAGGGCTCTGCATCTGCAACCTCTCAGAACTTTGAAAGCATGCCCTGTACCATCTAACTTCTGCTCTGTCCTGTCCTGCTTTGATCTGAATCTTTACTGACTGCTGTGCATGGATTCAAATTTTATCTCATGTGTCTGCTCTCCCTTTCAGACATCTCCCAAATCTGCTGCCTCCCAGAAACTCTGCTCTTATCTTTCTTGTATACACAGACCACGCTGTGTTCTGCATGAAGCTGTAGCCTCAGTGTGGGACCTTCTCTCAGCCTGCCTCAGCAAAACCCCAAAATGTAGTATCCTTGATGTCCCTCAGCAACTGCAAAATCATTGCAAAAACTCTGCCAACCCATTTCTGAGTTTTTCCAAAGCCAGATCTGGAAGCCAAATGCACAAAGCTCTGTTTTGGCAGGATGGTATGCAGTCAAGGAGGGCAAGGCGGGAGCCCTGGCTTTTAGAGCTCAACAACACTACCCTGGGAAAAAAATAAACAAATAAAAGCACAGGACAGAGAACCTATTTTTCAGCACAGACCCAAACCTCTGGTCACCTGTTCTCATAGACACAGAGTAGGAGTTTTTCCTGCCTCTCCATTCTTCATGCCATTTACTCCCTGCATTGTTCCCTCCTTTAGGAAAGTCAATTGTTCACTAAAAGAGTCCTGGTCTGTATACCATCCTCCCAACAAAACCCAGCCAGGAGTCCAAGGGATGCAACCAGCACATTTCCAGCTGCAACGAGGGCCCTGGAGTTGCTGAAGGGTCAGATGCTGGATGCTGCATTCAGATGCTGGATGCTGCTTGTCACCAGTCCTTGATGGGGACAGTGTGCAGTATCCCTCCTCCTGCTCTGTTCCCTTATGGGGCTCAGTGAGGAAAGAGCTAGCACTGGTTGAAAGCTCCAAAATCTCCCTTGGACTGTCCTAGTGCAAGTGATACTTTCCTCCCTACACTGAATGCCCTGGCAGGGTCCCTCAGACTTGTTCTTTATGACCAGGGGTGTCCAGCCATCAAAAAAAAGAAAGGGAGTGGAAAGGCAAATGGTTTGTTCAGCTCAGCTGGCCAGTCACGGGAGTCTGTAGTCTAACTTCCAATGTGTAAAACTACTTGTGTGGCAGGAGTGAACTTCAAGGGGCAGGACATGCAGTAAGATGTGATGAGAAGAAAGCATCCTTTGCACACACAGTTGTTGCCAATGGAAACAAGAAATGACATCTGTAAGGACAGGTGTGTCTGAGGGCCCCCGTGCTCACACTAATCTTATCTGTCTCCTGTGCAAATGTCCTAAAGCATGAGATGTTTGGATTATCCCTCATCCTCCATCTGGCCCAAAGTGCTGCTTTCAAACTAGAAGTGCTACAGGTGAAGCACAGGTGGGTAAATCAGCACCAGGCCTTTGCAGAGAGGGGATCTTGTTCTGCTGTGTTGTTCCAGTGCACAAAGGTTCTAAACTTGGTGGGCACGTCACTGCTAACAGAGATCAATTCTGACTGCAAAGCCTCACCCCTGCCTTCCTCACCCTCTTCCCCTCTGCACCTCCAAGCAGCCCAAAAGCTCAAAACCACTTCACTTTTTTGGTGTGCAACAAATGCCTCAAGCAAAAGGAGAGTTTCTGTATGATTTGAGATAAGCACCATCCATTTGCCAGCATGTAACAACTATAAGCAGAATCCTGGCTGCAGGCCACATGCTGCAGGCCACCCCATCCTTTCCAGCATGGTTTAAAGAAAAGCATCAGCATCATCTGCAGCACCAGCAGAGAGTAATAGCCTGTTGCTGAGCAGCCCTGAGGATGTGATAGGAAGTATCAGGTCTTACAGCTTTCTGCTGCAAATGCTGCCCTCACTCGTGCTGCACAAACACACATCTGGGCACACCTCCTCCTTACCATCAGCACGTACATCCCCAGTGCTTCTGCCAGCAGCTCCCTGACAGAGCTGCTATGGATTGTCAGCATCTTCTGAATCTTCTCCAGCATTTTTCTCTCTGGATCCAGCCTGCAGCTGTACAGAAGGTCCTGTTGAGACAGCACAGCTCATTGCACTGAGCTGTTACCCTTTGAAACTTGGCACCCTCCCTTCACCCCAGACACCTTCATTCATTTGGTTAAAGATGAACAAGCCAATAAAGTAGCTGCAAGCTTTGAAGCTTCCACACACAAACACCATCCTTTTAAAACTAGATGGTGAGCATGCATTGTTTCTGCCAGCAGAGTGCTGCAATCTCTTGAGTCTCTGCCCATCTTCCAAGCAGTGGAGCTGTAGATTGGTGTGCTCCTAAGGCCAATCTCTTTCTCCATAGCCTTACAATCATGGAGTCAAAGAATCACCACAGTTGGGAAAGACCTGCAGGGTCATACAGTCCAACCGTCTGCCTGCCACGAATATTTCCACACTGCACCATGTCCCATAGTACAACATCTAAAAGTTTCTTGAACACCTCCAGGGACAGTGCTGAACAGGAACTGCGGTGATGCTTTGCACTATAACCCCCTAGCCAATGGTTTGGTGCCATTTTCCTTAACAGGATGGATTAGGTCCATTTGCGGGTGCTTGGCAGGGTGGCTTGATGCATGCCCAGTCTGCGGTGAGGATGCCTGGTGCTGACGTGCAGCTCTGCCTGTGTTTGGGCAAAGCACAACACCTTGGGTGTTGCGCCAGGTTGAACATTTGCTCTCCCTGTGCATACCCTGTGCTGTGCCTAACTTCTGGTTGGTTTTCTCCACTTTTCTCTTAACCTGCAGCTTCTCAGTGTCTTTCTGTAAGGTATGCTCCGGAAGAGCCAGAGGCGGCTGCCCTGATGGGGACACAGGGCTCAGCCCTCACTGTCCTCTCTGCAGTAACACACTGCAAAGGTTCATGATCTATTCTCTCCCTTGTAGGACTGAGCATCTGTAAGAAAGAACCTGGGAAGCTGCTTCTCCTCTCACCTCTGCAGGTCATTGGCTTGCAGCGGGGAAGGGTCCTATGTACTGGAGTAATGCCTGCAGATTTCACAGCATTTCTCAGATGGAAGAGGGTCAAGTCAGTTCATACCCACAGCCAGACCTGCAACTTCACTTCTGATTCCTGGATTGTTCTTCACGCAGACTCCTTCCACTTATGTAGCAAAGACAGCTGCTACATTTCTGAAAAGTTTTTCTCTTTTATTCAAGCCTTAACTATAGGCATCTATATATTCTAATTCATGCTGAAAAATGAGGAAATGTTTTCTGGGAATGCTGGTCTCCCATGGACTTGGACTGGTTATCAGAGAAAAAAAGCAAAGTTTGGTGTAGTGATAGTATTTACAGCACTATCACTGAAACTGCCAGCAAACCCACTAGAATTCCAGCATGCTTCTGGACTGGCATCACCAATCACAGTGGCACTGGATGTGCCTCTCACACTGCCTGCCCTCTTACACAGTTCGTTCCACAAGATGGCATTGAGGCATTAATTTTTCATCTAAAAGTGTTCAAACGAGTTCCTCTGTCAGATGCTGAATATGCGAGAATGTTTTAGTTTTGTTTTGTTCTGTTTGAATACATTTGCATACATCAAATGAAGGTAGTCTGCTAATGAAATGAAAATAATGGAAGCTTTCTGCGAGTCCTATAGGGCAGAGTATCATCGCACAAAACCAAAATGTGTGAAACTGGACCTGTCAGCCTCCACTTTACCATGAGCAGAGAAGAACAGCTCCAAAAGGCAGTCCATCCCCACCTAGAATAAGCATTTCAGGCCAAATCTGTGAGTCAGACCAGCAGCTGGCATCCCTTGTAGTCCGTAGCAGGGACCCTGCAGAAGTGCACAGCACCAGGAGAGATGGGCTGCCCCAGCTATGTGCACCCAGCTGAGGTGACTTGGTGAGTCAGCCAAAGGCTGGGAGCAGAGCTGCAGTCACCCAGCGTGGCTTGTTCATGTTTGCCTGACTTTACTCACCTGTGGGGCTGGCAAGGGGCTCTAGGGTCATCAAAAAGCCCCCTACCAGTATGAACACCACCTCTTCCCTTTCATGACCTGACTTGTCTCGTTTTAGCTGTAAGGACTTTTTGTCCCTACTTCTGGTGGAAGCCTTTTACCAGACCTTGATACCATGAACATTACAGTTTCTTCAAACTTCCAGCCAAATTCTCAAAATCATGTTCCAACCATGTTCACGCACCAGCATCAGCCCAACACAGTCATGAGTTAACTCTTCTTACAAGGTACCATCCTATAAGGTTTTCCTGTACGTTTTATCAGAACAGAATGCTCCCTTTCAGCTCCCTTCTGCTCCTGATACTTACCTTGACTCACTCACCTGTTCAGACTTCACTCAGCATTGACTCTATGAAGATGTACAAAGTTTTCCATCATGCATTATGCCATCACTTGCTAACATAAATACATTTCCTTCCCTAGGGCAGGTACTCTTCCATCACTAGTAATATAGATCTCAGTTTGGAAAGGAAAGTCTCAGCAGAGCATTTTGGTACAGCCAAAGGCCCACTTTTAGTACTGGTGTTGACACAAATCATGCTGAAAAGCCAGGCTAAACACTCCCCTGGTTTGGATGAGTCCCCATGAACTCCAGAGCTGTCACACTTCCACAAGGAGAAACACCTCTCGCTTGGTTTGAAAGTGCACATTTCCTCAGTGCTCAGGAGCTCATTTATCTCTTAATTGTGCTAATCAGCAGCTGGAACGCTGCCAGTCAATTAGACCTGCTGGTGGAGTATTAACTTCTCCCCAGAGAATGAAAGGAGCCTGGCACATAGCACAACAGAGGAGCTCCCCACAGTGGATGAGAACATCTTACTACTCCACCAGACTAAGGGAAGGTGCCAGGATTAGCCCTGGCACCAAGACTTCTCCAGGCACCTTTAGGAATCAAGGCAGGATCCCAATGGGAAGGGGCTGCTGGGCCATTTTTCCATGACTGCATCCAGGCTGTGTGCACACTGCATCAAAGGAAGGCCAAAAGTTGAACCAGGTTCCGTGACCTCAGGAAAGCTGAATTAGGCATGGCCAGGTCTCAGAGAGACTTGTACAACACTGGTACTACCTGAGCTGTGACAGCTACCTCTTGACATACCCTGAAGCACCGTCATTTTATGGTCTCCCATCTAATGTTTAGGGCTCATCTCCTCCTCTGCAGATAGCAGACACTGAGACAGCTGGTATTGATCTCTCAGCAGATGGCTTTACTCTCCAAATATTAGCAGTGTTCCTACCTCCAGGACATCAGTCTCCATGGCCTTCCATGTAGCATCCACCTCCCACGCCATTACCCCTTGCCCCACAGCTGGCTGAAGGTTCATCACCCGCACATGCCATCAGCACACCCATGCCTTCTGCACCTGGTGCACCAAGGAATGCCATAATCTCCAGAAAGGTCCTAAAGGGACTTTTCCAATCAGTTCCCCGTGAGGCACAGCCCACTTCCAACTCCTCCCCATTCATTGCTTTCCCCACTGCAGTTTGTGACTTCCACTCAAGGTGCAATCATTACCCAACAGGTCAATGACACTTGGCCTGTTTTCATTCTCATCATGGGCCCCTTTGTATAAAACTAGAACAGGTCTTACCATGCTAGGCAGGGCTGAGAATTGAAGACAGAGGAATGTGGCTGTATGTGAGTGGGAACTTGCTCCAGTGTGCAGCCCTTCTCCTCACTCTTTGAGAGAATGGTGCCAGGGGGTCAGAGCCTCCGTGCCCCAGACTGCTAAAGCTCACTCATCCAGACATAATCTGCAGGATGGTTGTGTCAGCAGAAGAGGAATTATTTGATTGCCACTGATCTTCAAGGAGTGAGTATGGTTGTCTGGGAAGGGGTAGCATGGAGTTCTGCTCACCCACTTGTTGGGCAACAAAGCAGAGGTCATCAAGGTTCTGTCCCCACCCTGCTTAACCCTCTGCTATGGTGGGCCACCATCCCCTTCTGCTCTCTGTCTGGCTTTTCAGACAGAGCTGAGTCATTTTTACATGCTGTAGGGCATGGTGATTTGTGTGACCACACAGGTTTCCTCCTGGACAAAGCCTTTGACACCCCATGTTTTAACAGAGAGAGAAATCAGGGTACAGGGACACCTGTACCAGTGGTATCATGATACCATCAGTGATGTCCACGGGAGACTTAGGTAGGACTTCAGCCGAGGTCATGCCAAATAATCTCCTGCTGTCATCCCCCAGTCACTGCTCATGCTTTACACACACTGTATCCCCCCAGCCTGTTCAGAGTCAGGCTCACATTATGTCCCTATATGTGCCATCAGCCCCTGCTCACCCTGGTCCCACTGCAGTGTTTCCCCTAGCCCCATGCAGAGAGCTGTGAGCTCTGAGGATTCAGACACTCCTGCTGAGCTTTCAGCTCAGTTCTGTTTTCAATCTGAAGATAATCTGAAGCAGGAAAACCACAAGGTTCACAGGTCATCACAGTGCTGGAGATAAGAGGAACCTGGCTTTTTCCTGTGAATGCCCATGCTCTGAAAGACAGAGATTAAAGGTGAAAAGATGCAGGCTGAGGAAGAGACTCACTGAACTCAATGAGGAGTGAGAAGTAACTGGTGTTGTCCATGAGAGCCCACATTGCAGCTCAGATTTTAAGCATTTAGGAGTAAGATCATGTTGACCTATGCCCAAAGAAACTGAACTCATTTTGCAGGACTCCCCACCTTCAAATGGAGATAACTTCTGGTTTCTTCTGCCGAAGGCTGTATTTCATTTGGGGATAGAGAAATGAGAGTTTCTGTAACTAATTTTCATGTATAAAATACACTGTAAAGTGCTGGGAGGTGGCAGGATGGCATGTAGGCAGAGTCTCATGGATTCTGGTTATGCTCAGCTCTGAGGAATTTGCAGTTCAATTAGAAACTGAAGATTAGACTGCGAGAGAAGAAGGAACCAATTTGTTTTGAAGTCAGACCTAAATGCAGCTTAGTCCTAACAGCCCTAGGCCCCTTATTGCCAGCAGCAGAAAATGTTATCCTTTATCACACCCACCAGAGTGTCAAACACCATCCAGTGCCAGCATGACTCACACCAGTAGCAAGCAATGCCTGCCACCAGGGATCTGTCTTTATTATCTCCATAGGGATGGAATGCCTGGGAAATGGGTGGCCAAGGTGGCCTTCTCACATCTGCCCCAGCCTGGAGGGCTGCTGGCAGCACAGACGTGAAGGAATCCGAAGGAAACCCCCGATAAGCTCTTACTATCACAGTGAGGAGATGCCACAAATTCCTTGAAGACATGCACAAATCCCCTTGGACTCTGCCCAGCTTCTCCCAGTACCCCAAGGAGCTCTACAGGCATTGTAAAGCAGTGGAGGTCTGGCTCTATATTGGCCTAACCCCATCATCCTTACACCTTTCCCTTGCCCTTTGGCTGCTCTCATGCTCTTTTGGGAGACAGAAAAGTAGAGCCAGGTATGATGAATCCGTATGGTTTACCATCAGTCTACATGAAAATGCATTTACTCAGAGAAAGCCACAGAAGCTGGAAGAATAAGTTATTTGTCCTGACTCACATAGTTTCCCCGCACAAGTCCTACACAGCAGCAAAACTGACAGCTCCACAAACCAGTCCTCACTGAGCAAAGGCACCAACATGCAGTCTGCTCTACAAAGCACAGGGACTGCACAGCAGCCATTGCATGCACCACAGGTATTCCCTGCCCATGGCAAATAATAAAGATTGTCTTTTTTGTCCCCATTTGTTTTTGCACACACAAGCCCACACACCTTCATATTAGATATTTCCTAGTGAAGAAGTAACTGTTGTGTACTACCTTTGCAATTGTAACTGCATAGGAATCTTCCTGAGGTCAAAATATTGATTTATAAACTCATGAGATAGGCAGAGGCTTTGTTCCCCTCTCCTGGTGTGTACGTGTGACGGCTGTCTGGAGCCATCTAAGGGTGGGTTTATGCAGATGTGATGGGCACCTGATCCCAACACAGCCTTCAGGTCTGCCACAAGGCCAGCACAATGCCAAACCACAGTGGGTCTGTGAGCCTATAGATATCAATTCTTCACCCTGAAAATTAATGTGTCAAACTGCAAGATGAGCCACAGCGATGCCTGGCTGGAGCTTTCACCTCCAAGATCAGCTGCTCCGATTCATACAGTCTACCAGAAAATGTAATGCTATGCTAACATGGTTTTGCCTACTTATCCTGAGGCTACTGAACAAAAAGCTCAAACTGCTTTTTGTGCTGTGGGATTTGCAGTCAATGTGCACAAGTCCTTGCTACATGTCATGGATGCAAAAAAAAAAAAAAAAAAAAAAAGGAAAAAAGAAAAAGACCAAAAGATTGTTACACAAAGTCATGGAGGGAAAAATCCATCATGGGCTGTTAAACACACGTGCTCCTCTGCTGGTGTCTAAGTTGTGAACTACTGGAGATTATAAAATAACTCCAGGAAAATACTTTTTTTTTTTTCTATTCATACATTCTCTTTCCATCATATGTAAGAACTACTTCATGAGTACAACCAGCCTGTATGACCACTGCCCTGCTGACTCTGGTGCCCATTGGAAAAGGCTGTCCATCACTCTGGTCACAGGAACAGAAGATCAACATCTCTTATTAGCATGCTGTTGAATCGCTGAGTTGACCTCAGGAGTCAATTTGAGAAATTGAAAAACCAGCATCAGTCTTGGACAGTCACTTCTCCCTGCCCGGTTCCCCTTTTCCAGCGGGTGACCACTCCACCTCATTCAGAATCAGCTTGTGGGGAGCAGAAAAGACATTCAGATAGGGACAGGGAAAAGAGCTGCTGCACAGAGTGCTGCGTGATTCTCATGGAAGCACCTGCCCTAGCTTTGTGCCAGAGTTCCCATCAGCTTCTGCCATCAGCTCCACCATATTGCTCTCTTCTCCTTTCCAGCACATTGCCTCATCATGGTGAGGCCAGTGGTCAAAGGCCTCTGAAGAGCAGATGTGACCATGCTTCCAACAATGCAACAGGTCAGGCCAGCAGAGAAGCTTCCTGCAGTAGCCACAGCACTTACTGTATTGCCTAGGGCAGTGCAACAATTCAATGGCATTTTAGACACAGTGAAGGTTGGAGCTGTTGGAGAGGGTCCAGAGGAGAGCCACAGAAATGATCAGAGGGCTGGAGCACCTCCCCTACAAAGACAGGCTGAGGGAGTTGGGCTTGTTCAGCCTGGAGAAAAGAAGGCTGCGGGGTGACCTCATTGCAGCCTCCCAGTATTTAAAAGAAGATTACAAAAAGTAGGGGAATCAACTTTTTACTTGGGTAGACAGTGATAGGACAAGGTGAAATGGTTTTAAGCTCCAGGAGGGAATATTTAGGTTGGATATAAGGGGGAAGTTCTTTACTACAAGACCAGTGAGATGCTGGAACAGTCTGCCAGGAGAGTTTGTGGATGCCCCATGCCTGGAGGTGTTCAAGGCCAGGTTGGGTGGGGCCCTGGGAAACGTGGGGCCCTGCCTGTGGCAGGGGGGTTGGAACTTGACAATCCTTGGAGTTCCTTCTAACCCAAGGTATTCTGTGATTCTATGATTCTATGAAAATTTTAGAAGAGGGAGAACTATTGCACTGTCTGGAATCTCTCCTCCCTGCCCCAGAGCTGGAGGAAGTCACATTGCATGCATCATTTAAAAGCAACCAAGAAGCAAAAACGACTTGAAAACTCACCATGGGGAATAATCATGCCCTAGTTTAGGGCAGTAAATAACTGACTTGTTCTTGTTCCTCTCATATTTTATTGCCTCTGGCATTTGTACAGTACTTCACAGGCGAAAGCAGCCTAATACAGCAGGGAGCATGTGCAGGCACCATTTCCCAACCTGCACTTGTCCCTTCTGCACAGCCCCAGGATGAGAACAATCTCTCCTTATCATCTTTCACAGAATCACAGAATTGTAGGGATTGGAAGAGACTTCCAGAGATCATCGAGTCCAACCCCCCTGCCAAAGCAGGTTCCCTACAGCAGGTCGCACAGGTCGGCATCCAGGCAGGTCTTGAACATCTCCAGAGAAGGAGACTCCACCACCTCCCTGGGCAGCCTGTTCCAGTGCTCCAGTCTTTCAGTCCTCCACCAACATCTACCTTAGAAGAAACAAAGGGAAAATCTTACGACTGGCAATTTTGTGAGATAAAATATATTTATCATATATAGGTCTATATTATATATATATATATATATATATATATATATATATATATATATATATATTTTTTTTTTTTTATCATATATAGGAGATGCCTAAGCTCAAGATGATCTGTTTTGGATACAGCTGGGTTCTGAAGACATGTTTC